TGATGTAACGATGCATGCTGCATCGTGACGGCTACGGACCGAATATCGTCCGTAGCCAACAAAGGGCGCATCGAGCGCCGATAAATGCTTTCAATAAACACCGGCGGTCAATCACCGGACGGTTCCCCCACAACCAACCGTTCCGAAAAATTACCAGGTGGGGGTCCGCCGGCTAGGCCGCCGATGCTTGCCGATCCTAAGCCAGTCGGGCAACAGCCGGGTATAAAGAGGCCCGGCTAAAGAGTACACCATTTCACCAGATCCTGTTTGCTGCTCGCCAGCAAACATCCGATCCTTTTGCGAGCGAACTCGCAATCCACCGAGAGCACTCGGAGCCTATGCCCAGCAGCCCCACGAGCACAAGCATACTCGTGCACCGACCGAGCATACTCGGCTCTAGAAACCGTTTCCCCGATACGAGAATACTCGTATCCCGCCGAGCATACTCGGCTCTCGAAACCGTTCCCGCACGATACGAGAATACTCATACTCCGACCAAGTGTACTCGCCCCCCCCCCCTCCACCCAGGAGTCGTCCTCCGTTCCACACATACGAGCATACTCGTATACCGCCGAGAATACTCGGCTCCGCTTCTTACATACGAGCGTACTCGTATACTCCCGTGAACATTCGGCTCCACGTCCGACTTCAGATCATCGCAGGACACGGGCAATATGCGTGTCCTCGCTCCCGTCTTCATTCATTCAAATCGGTTCTTTTCATCCAGCAGGCAATCGCGACTAATTGATTCAAGCGTCGAATCACCGCGCACGCGCCCGAACCGTCGACCGGTTCGATCGATAGTCGATACAACTCGCACGTATCGACCCACGCGCTCGCTACTCAGCGATTTAGGAACAATCGCGGCGTCCGTGCTTGCGCCGACGCTTCCACGTTGCTGTACGACAACCGTTACACGCCGCCTTACACCGTCGTAATTGTTACAAAATTATAACACGCGTTCAGACACCGCATTCGACACACATTTATACTAATCGTATCCACACGGCTGTACATATCTAACATCAACTCACATAATAAATCACGTTATATTTTATTACACACAAACAGCGCATTTTCTTAACATGCCCCCAACCGACCGAGCTCCTGATTCCGGCGAACTATTCCGCGCAAACAAACGGACCGTTTCAAATATAGTTGTTATATATCTGTGTTTGCTGGGATAGACGTGTATGGTACGCGCGCGCGCACGCACACATCTATTACTAATACTTGTGGTCTGACATACATAATGCCAGACATGATGTTCAAATGTATAAGATATTATGTCTGTTACAGGCGTTATCATAAACATTTAAAAGTGTGGTCTAACATATAGAAATGCCTGACATGATGTTCAAATGTTTAAAATATCATGTCTGTTACAGACATGATAGTGGAAGCTTTCCATCAAGGCATTTAGGCGACACACATTGACACGGTGTCAGATAGGGTGCTTTCCATCAATGACACGCCACGGCACGGTTCGACACAGCAGAAGAGCATAGTCGAACACAGAATCTAGTTCATGGCTGCCATTTTTGAGATGGTATTTTAGAGAATTTTTATTTATCCATCTGCAAAATATATTTATACTCATCGCGATCGTAAACAATAATAAATGATGATTATGTTTAATTTGTACGTACTTTAAATATGCCAATATGCTCTTGGTACGCCAATTTTTCAATTAAATGAACTTACTAGATATCATGGGAAGACATAAGCAGACTCTAGCAGTCTAGTTCAGAACTAAACGCATTCCATCAAGTATCCAAGCACGGTGTTTGACCGTGTCACACAGTATCGATCTGTGTCTCCTAGATGGAAAGCTCCCAGTATAAACATTTAAAAATGTGGTCTGATATACATGATACCAGACATGATATTCAAATGTATAAGATATCATGCCTGTAACAAGCATGATATTCTATACATCTCAAAGTGGACAAAGCAAGTATTAGCAATGAGCAATGCAATAATAAATGTTATTTTAAACATTATTATTGCATATCATTAGACGAGGAGGGACGAGCAATTTTATTTATATCTGCAGCATATAGTGTTAGACGAGTTTTTTCTTTTTTAGGTCATGCAGAATACAATTTGTCCGTAGACATTACAGACAAATGCTTTTCTTTAATTTCTATGTCTACGGCTGTTTCTCCTCTCGCTTTCAATGCTGACTTAAGCACGCAAGTAGCATTGACACTGACAGATAAAAGTGGATTTCATTTTTTCGTTTTTATATCTGGCAACAAGAAAAAGATTCTTTCTGAATCGGCATTAGAATTTGGTAACAATCTTATAGCATTCAAAAGAGACATCAAATTGGGATATTGATAAGTGCGTTGGAAAATTTGTTTCCACATATCATTAAAATTTGACATTGATAGATTATCTTTTTCTGCTTCTGTAAAGTTTTAATGTAAATCAAACCATTCTTTAAACCGGTTTCGTTAAACCCGCCAATAGTCTGAGCGACAAAAGAAACATCATTAAATGAAGTTTCTCTATTAATATCACGTAAAGCTGTGTCCGGTTCGAAAATTTTTAATTTTGATAAAAATTTGTAATTCATTAATAATCTTTTACAAATTTTTTGGATAGCAGTTATATGAAATTGCAAACAGTTCTCTTGAACTATTGCAACTACGTTTGCGTGTCCCTCTGTTATCAACTTAAGATATTTTTCACATTCATCTCCTAAGTATACTTCGTTGAAAGATTTTTGATTTTTTTTTTGGAAAATTCAAAATTATTACTTATATTTTGTAAAAGCTCTGATTTTAAGAAATATTTACAAATAATGATTAGGAACTAAAATGATTTCGGCTGCAATAACTGAATTCTTGTTTCTAGAGCTTGAAAAAATACATTAAAGGAATTTAAAAAATGTAAAATATGTTTTAAAAATAATAAATATGAATTAAAATCAATAGGAGCGTAAAGAGCCATAATGCTGGTTAGTCGTGCGAATGTTAAGATATATTCATTAAATTGTTTACATCAAACGTTTCGACCTGCCATCAGGCCTTCTTCAGTGTACAATAGTAAAAATACAAATAAAACAGAAAATTCGCTCGCAAAATTCAAGACAGTGTGAAAGATGTGGAAGACATAAAAAACATCCTTTCCACCCGATTGTGGTTTAGTAGAAAAAATCAGAATTGAATTGAATTTATGTTAAAACGCTGGTCCAAGTAGAGAGGACGAGGTAGAAAACAGAGAACAGATAGTCTTATCATTAGTCTTATCTTAGTCAAACTAAGAGCTTGACTTTCAAAATGATAAGACTATCTGTTCTCT